AGCAGCATTCATGGACATGATGCATCGAGTGTTCAAACCTTACTTGGATAGGTTTGTAGTGGTGTTCATTGATGATATCTTGGTGTATTCGAGGTCAATGGAGGAGCATGAACAACATTTGCGGATAGTATTGCAAACCCTAAGAGAGCACCAGCTGTTTGCTAAGTTCAGTAAGTGTGAATTTTGGTTGGAAGAGGTGGCGTTTTTAGGTCATATAATTTCGAAAGATGGCCTTGCGGTAGACCCGGCAAAAGTGGAAGCTGTGGCTAAATGGAAACGGCCAGAAAATCCCACCGAGGTGCGAAGTTTTCTAGGTCTAGCAGGATACTACCGCAGATTTATAAAGAATTTCTCGAGAATTGCAGGACCCTTGACTAACCTGACCAAGAAACAAGGAAAGTATATTTGGGACGTTAAGTGTGAAAATGGTTTCCAAGAACTTAAGAAACAATTGACGATGGCTCCAATTTTAGCTTTGCCCAGTGGGAAGGATAGTTATACGGTTTATACCGATGCTTCGAAAGAAGGGCTAGGATGTGTGTTGATGCAGAATAGGAATGTGATTGCTTACGCATCCCGAAAGTTAAAAACTCATGAGCAAAATTATCCGACCCATGACTTAGAACTTGCAGCTGTAGTGTTCGCTTTGAAGAAATGGCGACATTATCTTTATGGTGTAACTTTTGAGGTTTTTACGGATCATAAAAGTCTTAAGTATCTGTTTTCCCAGAAGGAGTTGAATCTAAGACAACGTCGGTGGGTAGAGTTCTTGGAGGACTATGACTGTACAATTAACTATCATCCTGGAAAGGCCAACGTTGTAGCAGATGCTTTAAGCCGGAAGGCTCAACTAGCAAGTTCTATAGTGAGAGAGTGGAGCCTATTGGAAGATGTATGTGAGTGGAAACCTCGTTTGGAACCGGAAAAGGTGGTTTTTGGAAATATTGAGGCGAAATCGGCATTGATGGAACGAATCAAAGAGGGCCAAGTGAAGGATTCAATAGTACAGAAGTGGGTAGAGAGAGTGAAGAAAGGGGAGTTACCTAATTTTAATCTAAGCCCTGATGGAATTTTAAAGTTTCGAAATCGTGTCGTGGTACCTAGGGATGAGGAATTGAAAAGGGAGATTTTAGAGGAATCACATTGCTCTAGATATACGGTGCACCCAGGGAATAATAAAATGTACCAAGATCTTAGGAATCTGTATTGGTGGGAGAAAATGAAGGCGGAGACTGCCCAGTTTGTGCAAAAATGTCTTACGTGCCAACAGGTAAAAGCTGAGCATCAAAAGCCGTCAGGTTTGTTACAGCCTTTAGAGATCCCTGAGTGGAAGTGGGAGCACATAACGATGGATTTTGTGTCAGGATTGCCACGAACACAAAAGGGGCATGATGCCATTTGGGTAATAGTGGATCGATTGACTAAGACTGCACATTTCTTGCCAGTAAATATGAAATATCCTTTGGAGAAACTTGCTAAAATTTACATGGATGAGGTAGTGAGACTACATGGGGTACCAGTGAGCATTGTATCTGATAGAGACCCTAGGTTTGTATCCCGATTCTGGCAGAAATTACAAGAGGCTCTAGGAACTAAGCTGAGTTATAGCACAGCGTATCACCCGCAAACTGATGGACAATCTGAGAGAACTATTCAAACTCTTGAGGATATGCTGAGAGCCTGTATTGTGGATTTTAAAGGAAGTTGGAGCCAATACTTGACTTTGGTTGAATTCGCGTATAACAACAGTTATCATTCCTCTATTCAAATGGCTCCATATGAAGCTTTGTACGGACGACGATGTCGATCTCCAATCCATTGGGATGAAGTAGGGGAGAGAAAAGTCATAGATCCAGCTACTATACCATGGGTTGAGGAAGCCTATGAAAAGGTGAAAGTGATCCGCCAGAGACTTCAAACCGCCCAAAGCCGTCAGAAAAGCTATGCCGATCATAGGAGGAAAGACTTGGAGTTTGAAATAGGAGATAAGGTGTTTCTTCGGATCACACCATTGAAGGGAAAGATTAGATCCGGAAAAGGGAAAAAGTTGCAACCACGATATATAGGACCTTTCAATGTGCTACGACGAATAGGAAAGGTGGCTTATCGACTTGAGTTACCAGCTAGCTTATCTAGGATCCATGACGTTTTCCACGTTGCTTTGCTTAAGAAATACCATCCGGATCCGACTCATATTTTGCCACCCGAAGATGTTGAACTTGACGAGTCTTTAACCTATGAAGAACGACCTATTCAAATACTGGATCGAAAGGTGAAGGACTTGAGAAACAAGCAGATTCCTTTAGTAAAGGTACTATGGAAGCATCATGAAGTGGAAGAAGCAACTTGGGAGTTAGAAACGGATATGCAAGAAAAGTATCCTGGCCTGTTCGCGACAAAAGGTATGAATTTCGAGGTCGAAATTCTTTTAAGGGGGAGAGGATGTGAGGACCCGCAACTTTCCTACATTTTTCCTCAAAAATGCCTTTTATTTGAAAATTATTATTTATTAAGGCCCCCTACCTCATTATATCACACTAAGTGTAAGTAAACCTAGAAAATATGGTTTTACGCTTTGGTTTTCAGTTTTGAGCAAAATTAGGGTTTCTGCGATTTTTCCGCCGGATGAATTTTCGGTACTGGCCGAGGATCAATTTGATGAGTAAAAGTGACTTTTAAGTGAGAAATAAGATGTGAGTAGTAGCAATGATATAAGGTTAGTAAATGGGAGGTAAAAACCCTAGTACGTGAGTTTTAAGAAAAACGGCGCGAACCGGCGGGTCCCGCGCATTGCCGATTGAACGCACCACTTGACCACCATTTTCTTACCCAACAAATTTGTTGACTTTTGTACATAATATCTTCTCTCTTGGCAGCATGTTGACCGAAAATTGGTGGCTAAGAAAGGCAAGAAAGAAAGAGAAAAAAAGAAAGGGTGGTGGTGGTGACACTTGTCACCACCTCATGGCTTCTTACCAAGACCAAACTCCATCCATATAACCTCAAGACTTAGCCATTTCTTCCTTATTTCTGCTGGTGCTGGCCGAACTTAGCTTGGAGAAAAACACCAAGGAAGATTTCTTCATTTCACCTCCAAATCCAACAACTTAGTGAGAAAATCCACAAAGTAAACCGATTAAACCTACTCTTGAGTGATTATCTAGTGATTGGTGGTGGAAATTTGGGAAGAGAAAGCTTGGGGCTGCTCTTAGGGACTTCTAATCAAGGTAAGAGAGTTTATCTCTCCAAGTTTTACATCTAATCTTGTTAAATTAAGTTTAGTAGTTGATTATAGTGGTGAGATTATGGATGATTAGCAAGTTTTAGTAGTTTTCCCCAATTTAGTTGATGAACTAGGGTTGCTGATTTTCTTCTCAAGTTGATGTATGATGCATGAATGTTGCAATTAAAGTTATATAAGGTTGTTTAGTGGTGATTAGAACCAGAAATTTGAGGAAATTACACAGATTAGGTCATCTTTATTTTTTTAGCTTAACCCTAAAATTAGACGATTACCAAGAGCCTTTCTTCTTGTGTTGCGAGAAATGCTAAAGTTTCTTTCTTGTCCTAGATAAATTCTTGTAGTTACGACATGGCAATATTATACTGTAAATCTTCCTTACTATTTGTGCATTTTTCCAGACTATTGTATGGATAGAAACTATTTTTTAAAAAGTTTTTCTCAAGGTTTTCTAAACATGTTTCTACGATTTTTTTTTATATTTTACAAATACCTTTTTATCTCACAAATACCATATCATAAAAAGTTTTACCATAATTAAAACTAATTTTTTCCAAATAAGCTTCAATTGTCAAGGACTCATTTGAACAGTTTTTGCCATGGAGGTTACTAGACATGAAGAAAAAACTAATTTTTCCAAATAATCTCCAATTGTCAAACACTCACTCCAAAAGTTTTTGCCACAGAGGCAACTGAAGATGAAGAGAAAAATAATTTTCCTATTTAGTCCAATTTTTGGTATGGTGAAAGATGGAAGTTTAAAAAAAATAACAAACAAAAATATATTGGATGTTTGCTATAATAAAATTTGCAACTGATGCAGAATATTAGAAATTTCAAATGTTGATCGTTCATAGTACTGGTCTTTATATCTATCTATATAGTATTCTTTGTCTATATCATTTCTGGATTTACTTTGCCATAGGTAATAGAAATCTAATGATAAAAAGAAAAAAATCATGTAAGACTAATAGACTACCATTATTAACATAACACTCTAAGAGCCAAAGGTGTTACTGTTCATTCACTTTTTCGTCGTCGGTATCACGTGCCAGAGGCGTGTCTTTTTTTTTTTTTTTCGGTGACCAGGGAACTGTGAAGAAGAGCCACCTTAAACGCGTGCTCATTGTAATAATTCCCAAGCTTGGGGTTAGTGGGGTTTGCCAGGGGAAGGAAAACGCTGTCATAATTAGGGGCCTGGGAGGAGGAGTTTCTGTTTGCTTTTCCTGATAGTCAGCAGAGAAAAGTTCCCAGTTGTGATTTCGTCTCTTCCGGCCATTTCCTTATGGCTTCCCGTTTCTTTTCCTAATTTCCTTTCTTTCTCCTGATTTCTTTTCCTAATTTTATTTTAAGGCGTTATACTCTCATCTTGGTTTCACCATTTTCTTTTCTTGCGTCGATGTTGGTGGCTTTCAGCGGAGAAAAGTTCCCAGTTGTGATTTCGTCTCTTCCGGCCATTTCCTTATGGCTTCGTGTGCTAATTATACAAACGAGTCTTCCTGTTTGCCCAATTGGTAGAGTTGCTCTCTTGTGCATTTATCATTTTCTTTTAACAGCACTTCTAAGTTTTAGATTCTGTATCCTTGGGTTGGGCATCTACTTTCTTGGAATACGCTACTGAGAAACAAGGCAACCCAGAGAAATAAGAATAAGGAATGCCCTATTAACATAACACTCTAAGAGCCAAAGGTGTTACTGTTCATTCACTTTTTCGTCGTCGGTATCACGTGCCAGAGGCGTGTTTTTTTTTTTTTTTCGGTGACCAGGGAACTGTGAAGAAGAGCCACCTTAAACGCGTGCTCATTGTAATAATTCCCAAGCTTGGGGTTAGTGGGGTTTGCCAGGGGAAGGAAAACGCTGTCATAATTAGGGGCCTGGGAGGAGGAGTTTCTGTTTGCTTTTCCTGATAGTCAGCAGAGAAAAGTTCCCAGTTGTGATTTCGTCTCTTCCGGCCATTTCCTTATGGCTTCCCGTTTCTTTTCCTAATTTCCTTTCTTTCTCCTGATTTCTTTTCCTAATTTTATTTTAAGGCGTTATACTCTCATCTTGGTTTCACCATTTTCTTTTCTTGCGTCGATGTTGGTGGCTTTCAGCGGAGAAAAGTTCCCAGTTGTGATTTCGTCTCTTCCGGCCATTTCCTTATGGCTTCGTGTGCTAATTATACAAACGAGTCTTCCTGTTTGCCCAATTGGTAGAGTTGCTCTCTTGTGCATTTATCATTTTCTTTTAACAGCACTTCTAAGTTTTAGATTCTGTATCCTTGGGTTGGGCATCTACTTTCTTGGAATACGCTACTGAGAAACAAGGCAACCCAGAGAAATAAGAATAAGGAATGCCCTATCGGAAACAAGAGAACCCAAAGAAATAGAAATAAGCTATTACTGTTTAAAAAAAAAAAAACTATATTGCTGGTAATTTCCGATCTGTCCATTACAGAAACTGGAATTTTTTACATAGCAATTGCGAAGTACAGAAGTAGAAGGAAGAATTTGATAAATACAAATTGCGCTCCGCTGCCTTTTTCCTTAGAAAGACTTTTTCCCCTTTAGAAAAAAAACACCTTTTCCTCTCAGCTATAGCTGCTTAGCTCGCTGCTTACTTTCACCTTGAATGCAGCTACTTTTATTTTTTTTCCAGCCTGTATTTTTTTTCCAATCTCAATGTTAACTAGATTTTTTGACTCTTTTGCCTTGTACGACAACGGCACGTTTAAATACCCTCATTTATATTTTTCATGTTTCCAAATAGTTTTAGTTTCGCGTTTTTGTCCCCTTCCAATATATTAATCATACATATATATGCCTTCATCCCTTCCGAACACGTTGTACTATCTTTTCTTTTCTATACTGTTCATATGTCGTGCCTTTCTGTTTATTTTTTCCCTCCATATATGTGTGATTGGTCTCTTAAATTTTGATGCTTATTACCCATTTTTTGCCCCGGATACCCACTTAACGCCATTTTCTGCTAACATTCATTGGGATACTCCAAGCTTTGAATAGATCGCACGTTTTCCATCAGCGTCAGATCCATTGTTCTTTGCAATGTTCAGTTTTGCCTTCGTTGCTTCTATCGATCTTTACCAGTTTTTGTGCAATGTCAATAGTCATTCACAGGGATCTTCGTATGATAGCCGTGCAGAGATAGTAGCCATACAAAAAAAAGGTCAGCTTTTTACTATTTTTAGCCTTCTTTACATGGATCTTCGTTTCAGCCAATAGCCGTGCAGAGGAAAAAAGGTCAACGCTTTGCTACTTTTAAACTTCTTTGCATAGATAGTAGCTAATGAAAGTCCCCTTGCCTGCTCTTTAATCTTTTTTCCCGTTGCCTGCCTCGACCAGTGTGCTTACAATGTTCTATTAAGCCTTCTGCTTTATCTGGGCTTCTTCCCTTCCTTTGTTTCTTCTCCTTGCTTTACAGTCAGGCAGCCTTTCTTGCCATCAGGTTGGTGAGTAAAGCTTTTCTGCATGCCTCTTGCATCCTTTATTTACAATGTACACCATACGCTTGCTAATTTTTTTCCTTTTGTGCTTACACATTTTTTTTATATTTTCTCCCTGTCTTTGTACTTTCCAGTGGAGCTTTCTTCCAAGAGTCACACAGCAAGCTCGGTTGCTTCTCTCGTTGTTTCTTCTTTTTTAAGGTATTATGATTTTCATTAAATAGTCAAATATCTGCTTTAGTGCCTTTACTTGTCATTAAAGATGTTTACAGTCCATTCTATATAACTAATAGTTTAGTTTTTCGTCATAGCTGCGCTTTAGCTCCTTTATTTTAATCATTACCTTTTCAGCTGTGCTCCTTGCTTTTCATGCTTTTCCTATTGTGAGACCAGTTTCCCTTGCATCATTACTCACTTTGTGATCAATGGCACTTTTTTCGTGCACTAGCTATGTTGTTATGGATTTTTTTGACCTTCTATAAAATCTATCAGGCCGCTATGGTCCTTTGCATATTCTATGGATATGTACTTTTCGTTTTAGCTCCTGCTTCTTTCTTGCTTAGTGTAGTAAGATCCGTACAGCCTTATTCTTGGTTGCATGGACTACAACTTAGTTCGCCGTGGTCGTTATGCGGCCATGGACAAAGACAAAAAAGATGCTTTGCTTCAGCGTAGAAGAGATGCTTATGCTGCAAAGAAAAACACTTCCCATGTCCCAAAGGATAGCACTGAACCTGCCTATCAAACTAAGCTATATACACATAAGGCAGGAAACTCTGCATCTGGTTCACCATCTACATTGCAACAGATAGACGTATCTGCTCTTGCATCTAAGGTGTCGCATGCTGATCAGCAGAGCCTTATTGAAGCTTCTGCTCCTCTTATGCGTCGACCAAAGAAGTATAGGAGCCGCCGCATAAAGCATTCTTGTGATATTCCATCTGCTTCGCAACAAATGAATGCATCTGCTTCTATCCCTGAGCCGTCTGATAACCATGATGCCCAATTGCCCGTGCATGCCCATGAATTAGCTGATCTTTTTGACTCTATTGCAAATCGCTTGAATTCTAAACTTGAAACCCAGTCAACTCCTCACCACCCTTATTCCTCTATTTCTCCCTCTTCTGTACAACCATCATTGGAAGGTACATATTTATTGATTGGTATCTTCATTCCTCATTAGGTTTCCTCACAGCTTTGCTCCTGCTTTATTAATGGTTAAGTGCTAATGATCTGTTTATACCAGTTCCTGCTGTTCTGCCTATAGAGGAAGGTACCTGTGTTATTGGTCTAGATAATGCTCAGCCATTCGAGTCTCAAAACAGACCAACCATTGTCGTAAATACATCTGTTCCTTCCAGAGGTAGGTGAATGCCTGGTAATTAGTATATATATATATATATATATATATATATATCCTTAGGGCTGTGTTGCATTGTTGCGTGCTTTTCCGAAACTCCCACGGCAATGATATATTTTTCATCATTGCACCAGGGAAACGGAAAAAAACCTCACGCTTGGATAAGATTCCAGATAGCCCTCTTGTGCTGCCACAAGCTCCAGACTGTAAACATTGTGGAGCAAAAAGATTTCATTTAGAGCCCCCCAATTTCTGTTGTTCCGGAGGAGAGGTTTCTGTCGTCATCCCAGTCATGCCTTATAGCCTTTACCGTCTTTTTTCTGGTGTGGACGAGGAATCAGTGGAGTTTAGGAAGAACGCTCGTACCTACAACAATAACGTGGCTTTTACATCTTTTGGTGCCAAATATGACCATGAATTAACAAAAAACACCAAGGGAGTTTACACCTTTCGAGTTCAGGGACAGGTCTACCATCTACTGAATGGCTTAGTTTCTCAGAACAATCAACCAACAGGGATTCAGTTGTACTTTTATGATCAAGAAGAGGAATTGTCTAAAAGGCTCAGCAGCTCACCCAGGTTACGCGAGAGTACCCTCCGTCTCTTAATGCGAATCTTAGAGTCTAACCCTTACACTAAGTTCTTTAAGAACCTTCGGCATGTTAACAATCTTGAAGATCATAGGATCGTTCTTAATTGTAACCCTGAGCTGGATCAAAGGGTATATAACTTGCCCACTTCGTCTCAAGTTGCTGCAATTTGGACTGAATCTGAAGATGAGGCACTTGAAAGAAATGCTCACATTCAAGTTTATACCCACTCAAACACCAGCCATAGGATACAACACTATTTTTCATGCTATGATACATTGCAGTATCCTCTCCTGTTTCCACATGGTGAGTCTGGTTGGCATCATGGTATCTTAAGAAATTCTGCTTCTAGGAAACGAAAAAGAAGCTCTTCGGATGATGTTGATCTTCCTGATGCTTCTTTAATAGGGACTGCATCAGACCTTATTCGCCTAGAACAAGAAGGCAAGTCTAACTTATATGTTCTGCTAGCTTTTTTGTTTCCGTTAGCTTATTAAGTTTGTGTATAAATTATTTGTATGTTTTGCTTTCCTTGCTTAGCTGCTGAGCGTGGAAAAAAGGAACGCCTGACTGTCTCTGCTAGGGAATATTATTGTTACTTGCTTCAGATGAGAGAAGCGGATAGGTCCATGTTGTTGCACACCGGCCTGTTGCAACAGTTTGTTGTGGATATATATGTTAAGATTGAGACATCTAGGCTTGACTTCCATAGAAAAAATCAGAATGATATTAGAACAGAAATTCTCCAGGGTGTCATGGATAGTATAGCTGCAGGAAAGAGTGAGGGAAGCAAGTAGGCCGGAGGGTATATCTTCCATCTTCCTTTATTGGCGGCCCAGAGATATGCGGCGCCGTTATGTGGATGCAATGGCGTTAGTTCAAAAATTTGGCAAACCCGATCTGTTCATTACTATGACATGCAATACCAATGGAAAGAGATTCAAGAAAATTTAAAATATGGAGAATCGGCACAGGAAAGGCCAGATCTGGTTTCTAGGGTGTTTAGAGCAAAGTTTGAGATGCTCAAGGCTGAAATACTTAAGAAAAAAATATTCGGTGAAGTTGCAGCGTGCGTTCATGTAATTGAATTCCAGAAAAGAGGCCTTCCCCATGCTCACATACTCTTGATTCTTAAGCCTGAATATAAGCTGTTAAGTCCAGAAGCTTATGACCGAATTGTTTCTGCTGAGATCCCAGATCCGGATAGCCAAAAATATTTATACTCTCTTGTTGTCAGGCATATGATGCATGGCCCTTGTGGACAGTTGAAGCCTGATAATGTTTGCATGAAAAATGGGTTTTGCAAGAACCATTTTCCAAAAGATTACTGTGACTTCACTATCCATTCAGAAGATTCCTATCCACATTATAGACGTCGAAGGAATGGTCCAACTGTAAGAGTGCGCAAACAGTTATTAGATAACCGCTGGGTTGTCCCGTATAATCCTTACCTTCTTGCGCTGTTTGATTGCCACATGAATGTTGAGGTTTGCTCAACTGTCAAGCTGGTCAAGTATTTATACAAATATGTCTACAAGGCCATGACCGTGTAAGCTTTCATGTTCATTCTGGTTCTGGCCCTGAAGACATTGACGAAATCAATGAGTTCCAGTCCGGAAGATGGGTTGCTGCTGCAGAGGCATTTTGGCGTATCTACAGATTTTCACTAAATGAAATGACTCCCTCTGTTTACACTCTTCAATTACACCTTCCAGGACAACAAATGATTTCTTTCCATAAAAATACTGATCTTGCTGACCTTTTGGACCGTGCCGCTTTTAAAAAGACCATGCTTACACAGTTTTTTCGTATGAACCGGACCAATAAAGCAGCTCAGAAGCTTAATTGCTTGTATCGTGAATTCCCTGAATATTTTGTTTGGAAGCCAGAGAAAAAAAAATGGTCTCAGAGGAAACGAAAAAAGGTGATTGGTAGAATGGTGACTGTAAGTCCAATGAAGGTGAACGTTATTATCTTAGGCTGCTACTGTCTCATGTTCGTTCTCCCAAATCCTTTAAGGATCTTTTGACTATTAATGGCAAGCTTGCATTATCGTATAGAGAGGCTGCCTTTCAGATGGGTCTTCTCCAATCTGATACTCATGTAGAGGACACTCTTGATGATGCAGTGGCATTTCAAATGCCATATTCACTGAGGACTTTATTTGCAATTTTGTTGGTTTACTGCTCGCCCAGTGATCCAAAGTCATTGTGGGAAAAATATGAGGCTGCCCTGTCTTCTGATTTTGAAAGAAATAAAGATCTTTCTGGTTACGATTCAGAAGAAGTTAGGAGGCGTGTTCTGCAAGATATTAATAAAATGTTGGAACAAATGGGAAAAAATGTTGGTGATTACCATCTTGTGCCTGACAACTTTCACCTTGCTCCTGATGAACAGGTTGCAAAAGAAATTCAGAATGAACGAAATATTCCATTTACTGAGGAGGACTTACTTTTGTCTTCGAAGTTGAACATAGGTCAGAGACATGCCTATGATGTTATTATGTCTGAAGTTCTCTCTTCAGGGAGTAAAAGTTTTTTTGTTGACGGCGCCTGGTGGAACAGGAAAGACATTCCTTTATCGTTCCATTCTTGCAACGCTCAGGTCTCGTGGTCTCATAGCAATAGCTGTTGCTTCGTCTGGTGTGGCTGCTTCTATTCTTCCGGGAGGCCGGACTGCGCACTCGCGCTTTAAAATTCCTTTGGATGTGTCCGCAAACAAAATTTGCCAGATTAGCAAACAAAGCTCTGTTGCAAGGCTGATCACGCTTGCTAAGCTAATTCTCTGGGATGAAGCATCCATGACTAAAAAAGATACTGTTGAAGCATTTGACTTGTTACTAAAGGATGTCATGGATTCTAATAAACCTTTTGGAGGTAAGGTTGTGGTTTTTGGAGGTGACTTCCGACAAACCTTGCCTGTTATACCAAATGCTTCAAGGGACCAACAGATTGAGGCTAGCTTTGTTCATTCACCTTTATGGAGAACTCTTCAGAAAATAACTTTAGAGGAGAATATGCGCGCTATTTCAGATCCCCAATACTCAGAGTTTCTTTTGAGAGTAGGAGAGGGACATGAGCCAGAAGATGACGAGGGGAAAATATCTCTGCCGTAAGGACATATTAATTCCATTTGATACTAAAGATGGCTCGCTTAATAGGTTAGTACACGTTCCACAATCTTAGCTTACATTATTTGCATTTTTTCATGCTTAGTATATACATGTATATCTAACCAGCCTCTTATTTACTTAGGTTGATAGGCTTCGTCTTTTCAGACCTGCATGCTTATTCGATCGATCCATACGCAATGATCAACAGGTGTATCCTTACGCCGAAGAATTCCTGTGTTGATGACATCAATGATGTGCTCATTGATCGTTTCCCTGGACAAGCTTTTGTTTTCATGAGTACAGACAGGACTCTCAATGAAAAAGATCAGGGAGATTATCAAGACTTCCTGAACTCTTTGAATCCAAAAGGATTACCCCCCATAAATTAGTCTTAAAGGAAAACTGTCCGGTCATTCTGCTTAGGAACCTAAATCCCGCAGAGGGATTGTGCAACGGAACACGGCTTATTTGCAAACACCTTAGACAACATGCCCTTTGTGCAGAAATTGCAGTAGGCCAACATCGAGGCAAGAGAGTGATTCTGCCTAGGATTCCCCTTCAAACATCTGATAATGAAAAAAATGGCATTCCTTTTAAACGAACACAGTTTCCAGTGAAGCTGTGCTTTGCCATGACCATCAATAAGTCACAGGGCCAGACATTAGATCGAGTTGGTATCTATCTACGTGAACCCGTGTTCTCACACGGACAATTATACGTTGCTTTGTCTCGGGCTAAAATGTCCAGTGCAGTTAGAGTCCTTATAATGCCACCAACATTTTTTGCTACTAAAACTGTACCTGAATCTAGAACAAGGAATGTTGTCTACCGTGACATCCTTGAATTAGCTGCTAAATGACTATCTATACTAAGGTATTGCGGCTCGGTGGATTTATACACGCCTTTTCTGAATTTGCTAGCAGTTTTTATCTAACTTGCATCTTTATTTGCCTTCTGTTTTTGCTTTACCATGACCTTATGGATTTTCGTACACACTTTGGTGCAGAATGGGTGACCTTTTGTTCATTGATGACATCAAGCCTGGAATGAAATCTTGGACAGCTATAGTAACGGTCCAAGAAAAATTGAATGTTGGCTCTGCACCCTCCACTCCAACAAAATGGCAAAAGTTTATTTTTGTTGACTCAAATGTATGCTTATATTACTTTTCAAAGCTTGTTATCAAGATCTATTTTCCCCTGATGCTATGTATCTTTGACAGTTATTAATGCCTTCATTATTTTGTACTAAGTATCCATAAAATAGCCAATTTTCCCTATGGAACTTGTTTTTCCAGGGGTCAAAGGTCCAGGGAGTGCTTTTTGACTATGCCATACAGAAAATGGGGCCTAAGCTCAAGCTTTACAAAAAATATCGCATCTCAAATGCTGAAGTCAGGGCTGCTGCTGAAAGGTTCCAGCTTGATGGACTTAAACTCCAGTGGATTATAAGCACCAAAACTGTTGTTGAAGAAATTGATGAAGCTGATTCAAGTGTGTTGCCGTTCCACTTTGATTTCACGGCTTATAAAGACCTGCCTCCTTACGTAGACATGAAATATGAAACTGTTGGTCAGTATAAAACACACTTTATCACTTGTTTTCTATTGCACTTATATGAAAGAAAAGTTGTATCTGATTTTTTCTTGCCTGTTCTGCTTAATATAGATGTCATTGGAATAGTCATTCATGCATCGGCGATTATTCCAATCCACAAAGATTCACGTGAATTACTGGTGCAAAAATTTTGGCTTGTGAATGAAGAGTAAACTCTTTTCTTGTTCTTTCTTTGCTGTATTATGACTCCTGAAACAGTTGCCACACTTACCCCGTCATTGTAAAAATAACAGCCATTTCTCTGTTCTTGCTATTACATAGAATGAATCCTATTCTGCTGTCTCTTTGGAATGAGTTCACTGAAAATCAAGGAAAATCTATCACTGATCTGAAAGACAAGCATCCCGTTTTAATATGTCGCAGGCTCAATGTTGTTATGTACAATGGTAAGTGGAATAATTGTTGCTCCTCATGCATAATTATATGTTATGTTCACCTGCCTTTGTATTAATGCTTTGTCTGGCTATCTCTGTCTACTAGGAATTGCTTTGTCAACTAGGAATGACTCAGTTATTCTTGTCAATCCACCAGTCAGAGAAGCTAATCAGCTAAAGCATTGGTTTTTTCTTTCCTTCCTGAGATTTTTCCCATATCTTCTCACATGCCATTACTTATCATTTCGTATTACCATTTGCATTCATGCTTTTCAACAGGGCTGCCAGGAATGAAAAAAGCTTTGCGGGGCTTTTCAGGATAACATGCATGCTAAACAAAGTCCTCAGCTATTTCACGAATCACATCAGAAAATTATTTCTATCATTGATGTTGTACCAACGCAAAAGGTTTGCATTTGTACCCATTTTATATTTTTTCCCCTTTTTCCAGTATGCAGCAAAAAACTAACCTACCTTTTTCTTTTTGTAATACTTTTTAGGTTTCATGGGTTAAGGCATAGATTTCTTTCAAACACATTGTTCAAAAATACTATTACATGGGTTGCATAAAATGCCACCGCATGACTGCTGCAAACTTTGGAACTACGTTTACTTGCAATCACTGTAATGAGAAACAACAGGCTTCTCCCAGGAAAGCAATCTCGACTTGCAATTCATTGCTTTATGTGAAAGTACAGGTTTTCCTCAAAGCCAATGTATTGTCTAATCTTAACTCGAGCTTTATTACATACAGGTGTCGCTTTGATGTAGACCTCACTGACCACACTGATACACTCACTGCATCTGTGTTTGGTGACTTAGCTGAAACTTTGCTCACATTTACTGCACTTGAAGCAATGAATTATCACGAAGAGGTTGGATACATATCCATAAAAAAGGCTTAAAGAAATTTTGCACAAATCGATGACGCTTTTATTTCTTTTATATATAGAATGCAGAATTGCCGCTAGAAAAAGTCCATCAGGAACTACAATCAAAGATGTTCACAATACAGCTAAAGCCAGCAGCTACCAGGGATGGAGGAGGTCATCAGCGTTATACAATTGTCTATTGTTTTGAGGATGCAAGCTCTGAAGAATCTGCTAACAAGTCTGCAAATCCTAATGTCCAGACTTGTTTTGAGGAAGTTGGCAATACTGTCCCAGCAAGTGTAGCACCAGGTTTGTATGCGTTTAAAAAAACTTTTATAGCTATACATCCTTAATCTATTAGGTTCACTGATACTTCTCAATAAATTGCTTTTAGAAAACCAAGTTTCTTCATCAAAGGTGCGAATTCGTCTTGATACAAAGTTTGATCAATCTGAAGATGCAAACGACAATACATCCAAAGACGAGAAGGCATCCATCAGCAAAAAGGCAAAGAAAAATTGATTGCCTTTCCGTTCCTTAGTTTTCTGGCTATGAATTCAGATGTCTATGTCTTTTGCTAATGCTTAAAGCATTCATTTTGCTGCAGCTTTTGAAACTATATATCGAACTTATAACCTACCTTTTTGAAGTCTTAGCTTTATCAACCATCTGAACAGATGTCTGACACGTATTGCTATCCCTTATTAGTCATTACATTATCTGCTGCAATTCTATATATATTAATTGTCTGACTTTTGTCAATAGCTTGACAGCTTTTAACGTCTAAATGCCTGCTTCCAATTAATGCAAACAACAACTATATTCATTGTTGCACACTTGCATTATAGCCAATGCTTCATCCACCTTCCACCAAACTCATTTATATTAAATGCCTCTCTCTCGCTCTTTTTCTCAGCTTATTGTTTAAAAATGCTACAGAGTCTATTCATGCATTGTTTGTGTTCTCCTTTCCTTCCAGCTGCTCCTCCCCTTTTTAAGCCTTTTCCTACATAACAAGGCGTCCAAATGTGCAGCTTCGATGCGAATATATCCAAACATAAACTTTAATCCCAGCTCTTTGTACAGTAGCCAATTCCTCCACCAAACCTTTGTACTTAGCATTCCTTCCTAACATTTCCCCATACATACTTAGCGGTAGAAATGAATGGGAAAAAAAATCCGTTTAAAAGATGGGAGTTAGTTCGAGTTGCCAACAAAGTGAAGTTTTATCTTCGCACATTTGATCATACAAAGATTCATGCAGCAACCGGTGTTAGAAACCAGGAGGGAAAAATAGTATACTCTGTCGAAAAAAAATTTGCAGAGGCTTTCCCCATGGTATTTACGTGCATGGGTGAACCATCATTATTTTCACTTGCTTCGGTTAAACAATGGTTGCAAAATATCATCCTTATTTCTTCACAGGCATTCGTCCCCCAAGGCAAGTATCCTTTCCTGATTACACCACTGTTATAAAATACATGAAAATCTTATTGTTTTTCTTTTTCCCATAGATCCTCCAAAGATTACTCGAATATTAAATGGACAGCCTTGGTGTTATGTACTCTTTTGCACAGATATGGAGAACCAGGTGCTTTTAATAACCAATTCTGGCTCTTGGATTACGTTTATCATATATTTACAGATCTCTTCTATTCGCAGGACATTCCTGTGGAAATGTTTCAATATAATGGCTTTGCAGAAGGACAGACCATTACAGTTAAACATGGCCTTGCTGAATGGAGTCTAAAAATCACAGATCATTGTTTTGGAGGCGAATGGAACCTTTTTTGCAAACACAACTATATTGACCTAAATGACATGCTTTTCTTGCGAAAAGATCAGATTTCATATATGATGCACTGACTTTCTCGAGCAATTGTCTACAAATCTGGACACGCTGGACCTTGCCCTTATCAATGATCCCTTACGAATTCTTCGTTTCACAAGGAAGCTACAATTCTATTGCTCTTATACTGTGTTCCTATGTTATATATGCACTCACACATTCTTTCCTTTCATTACAGAAGATATCAAAAGCCAGCCGAGTGCAACTTTGATCACCTCGTCAATCAATCGATTCTTCTCTCACGATCTTATGGCATTAGATGCTTTTTACCAAATTTTTTCTTCCGATGCTAAGTATTCAATGGTGTGCGTTTTCTCCCGTTAAACATATCCATGGTTTTCTAATCCACTTCTCCTTTTTTTATCTTTATTACACAAATTTGTTTCTTTTCCAGGAAGTTCCCGAGCATGCTCATCCAAGATTACATGAATCAAGAACCCCAACTATGGTCCTCACAAGTGGAACTAAAAACTATATCATTGGAATGACCGACAACAGATTTCACCAAAACTGGAACAAATTTGTTGATGATCATGGTCTTCACCAAGGAGAAATACTTGTATTCATACCCCAGTCCCGTACATCCCTTACTGTTTTAATTTTCGGAATCAACGGCATAGAAATCATGTATCCATGGCATCATACATTTTACCTTTAATATATTTGAATCTTTGATTACCAAATTAGTTAGCTCTTTACATTTCTCCCATGGTTTTCGTTTGTTAACCAAAACATGTACTTCCAATATAATTTCTGATCTACATTTACTTATCAGCAATCCCAACTCCTATTTACATAATTTTAACCCTTCATGGGCATTCGCATTTTATATTCCACCGCGCGAAGTGCGGTTTACCTCTCCTAGTTGTATAATAAGTTGTAACATTGTACGAAAATCTACTAAAGCAGTGTGCTACAATTTTGGTTCGGATGTAATGAATTCAATTCTGAGGAATTAAAAATAATAATAACTTTAACTTTAATAATATCCATAGATTTGATTACTTAACTCATTTCAAATGTAACAAATATCAGCTAGGAAATAGCAGGTTGGACTTCTAGCTTTGTGTTTACTGCCCACCATTAGTTATTTAGGGCCATTGAGCTCCTTCTTGCTGTTAATATTTATGGGAAAATCGTTCAAAAAATCCCTCACATTTTACAAGATGACTTTTTTCGTCATTCACTTTTAAAAGTGTAATTTAACATCCCTTACAAATTTATATTGACCAAATTTGATCCCTACCTAGGTTTCCGACTAATTTTTTGTCGGAATTCATCACGTGACTTGCATGTGATCATTTTTTAAGGACAAAATTATCAAATCAATTTTTACATAATCTGATTCATAGTCCCTCACATTTCACAAAATGAATTTTTTCATCCCTCACAATTTTCAAAATAAATTTTTTCATCCCTCATTGATCATGTGTACGAAATAGCTTTTTTCTATAAACCCACGTATATGTATATTTAATTTTATCTAAACAGTATGAATAACATATAATTCATCTCTATTGGATTTTATCTAAACATGCTAATCGTAGTTATACACATTTTATTCAATAGATCTATAGAGGGGTTTAAAACTAATAATTTTGTTTGAAACCCATGTATATATTTATATGATTTTACCATTTAAACCTATTCAATATTTGTGACCTTTCTCCTTTGGTAATAATTTATTTATTGAGTTGTATAATAAGATCATCTAATTAATGGGTCCTAACTCGAATTTTATAATTGTGCTAACAAATTTCAATTTAAATTTGAAATTTCTACTCGACACATTTAAGACCAACAGTTGAATTACTTGCCTTGTGATTGTTTTAAAATTTGAAAGTGCTAATCATTTATTTCTTTTTGTCATACTTTTTTTTTGTTTACTTTTTTTGTCCAAATTTAATTCGATATAAACACTCGATAATATTTAGGATTAAATGTTTTCTTTATTTTCAAATTTTGAGTAAAAGAAAATGAATATAAGTGAAAAACTAACAATTTTTTTAAACCTATGTATATATCTATTTGATTTCACTTGAGTAGTACGAATAATATGTAATATATCTTTATTTGATTTCACATGCTATTCATACTATTCAGGTGAAATCAAATAGATATATACATGGATTTAAAAAAAATTATTTACATACATGATCAATAAAAGATGAAAAAATTCATTTTGAAAAGTGTGAAGGATGAAAAAGTTTATTTTGTGAAATGTAAGGGACGAAAAAATTTATTTTATGAAATGTGAGAGATTATGAATCAAATTATATAAAATTTGATTGATAATTTTGCCCTTAAAACATGATCACATGCAAGGCCACGTGGTGAATTCCGACCAAAATCTAGTCAGAAACGTAAGTCGGGACGAAATTTGACCAATGTAAATTTGTAAGGAATGTAAAATTGCATTTTTAAAAGTGAAGAACGAAAAAAGTTGTTTTATAAAATGTGAGGAACGTTTTGAATGATTTTCCCAATATTTATGATCAAATTCAATGGCTGTTGATCAAACTTCCTCAATTATCTCCTTAACTGAATTTAAAAGAACTTTAGGGATGCTAATTATCATCGTACTGCATGCAAATCGTCATCTGTAGTTTATTATAATCCCATATTCAATTCTGGAGTTAACAAATTTTTTTCCCTAAAAAGTTCCGTCAACGCCTTAGTAGTCGCATCTACTCCAGGGGTCAATCTACTTTGCTGGAAAGTGGTTTAGGAAAATTGAACAGATCATTCTACACAAATGTTTCCGCTTCAGTATTCTGTTGTTCTTCTGTTATCACCCTGGCGTGCAACTGAGGTTGCATATTACTAGCAGAAGTTCGGACTTTTTGCTAGTGGTAGAACACAAAGCTTGTACGAGTACTAAAAGTTGTATCCATGCCTGTTTTACAAGAAATTGTTCATAAAAAACCAACAGGAAAATGGTGTTGTGAGTTCTAACAGTTTTACTGATTATAATTTGTTGAGATTCTTAATGTCTCAAGGGACAAAGGGTAGTCATGCTTCGCTGCTTCATTAGCTACAAAAATATCGTTCTTTCAACTAAAAATGATGATGCTTCGGTGCTTGCTGTGAGGATTCTCTGGCAATAAATGGTTCATGACTTTTAGACCATGGAAATGGCCTAAAAGAGAGAGAGGACAAGAACATAGATAACTTCAAGAAATTCTTGAGCCATCTCAAGTCATAAACAGTTCTGCATCACCATATGCTCAAATTACAAAGCGATTAAACACAAGGAGTAAATATCAACCTCAACATACAAAATCACAAAACAAAATCTAGTCATTAACAAGCTCCCGTTTTCCATGTCCGATCCAAAAGCAAGATATGAAAATTGCACATTGCCATAGTTATGTAATTTCCCTAGCTATTACCAGTATGCAGAACTACTTTCAACCTGCGTTTTGTCACTATTACAGCAGCCATTCCGGAGTTGGATTATGTTATTTCCTTGGAACAGCATCAACTACTCCCCATTGGCCGATCACAATTTATTGAAACATTTTCCTGAAGCTTCACCAGCAGACCTCCAAACAATTTTTATGTGAACACAATCTGGCAGTCGTTGTTGCATCTCTTGAATGACAAAATTTTGCTGCGAGCTCCAAAGTGTCCAAGCACACCAACAGTCATCTTTTTTAAAGCTTTCACAATTCTGCAAAATATAGTCAATGAGCTTGAATTCATATTCCTTTCCATTGAATTTTCTGATTTTTACTTCCCTAAGATGTATCGGCAAGCATAATGGAACTGGCTCTGCAGAAAGAAACTCAAATTTTTGTCTTCAGCAGAGGATTCAATCCTGTCATCCCAAAACACCTGCCATTTGGAGAAGAATTACAGACTGGAATATCTAATCGAATACATTGCAGTGAGAAAAAGGATCATTGGACTCACTTCATCAAAGACCAGCACTTGAAGATTAGGTGCACTCTCAAGTAACCAAGATAACATCTTCCAGCTACGAGTATGCTTATCATAATATTTGCGGACTTCAAGCTCAAGATAGGTTAGCTTTTCAAAAGTTGGCAGCAACTTTTTGAGAATAAAAGAGTAACTTCAGGAAGAAACGAGAAAATTGATTAGACAAATAGCCACTTGGAAATTAGAAGTTCCAGTCATTCTCCAAATCATACCAAAAATAATTTGAGTTATGTATAACAAAGAAGAGAAAAGAAACTACCTCCACCGTGGCATCCAGCAAATAAAGTGATACCACACTTTGTGACGAATTCATAAGCTCAAAGGCAACCTCACAGCGTAATAATTGTTCTTGATCTGATGTTTTCACAATATAAGGGCAAGAAACTGATATTCTGGCTTCAACAAGAGACTTGTGGTTTGGGAGAATGTTTACTTTAACTGCATCGCCATCAAAGTGCAAATGTTGAAGCTTTGGGGCATTTATACTCGTTTTACTCGCTCCCTCAACCTCGCATTCCAAATTTACAGCACTAGGGATGTCCAGAACAATGTCCATTCATCAGTCACACAATGGAGGTAGATTTTTTCCAGGGAAGGGCTTTTTATCAAAAGGGTCAGAACTTCACCCTCTGAATATGTTAAACAGTCAAAAGACAGTTCAATGAGCACAGGACAACCCTGAATAAGCCTGGGAATAGACAGCTCATCTGTTAATATAAATTGTGCCAAATGCAGAATCTTAAGATTTCGGCAAAGAAACTGTCTCCGGGACATAGAAATCAGTAAAGCGACTTTCCAGCTTCATTCTAGAAGTGTTTTGCAACTGAAAATTCTGGACAGGACAAATTCCCGGAGAGAGAATGCATTGAACGATCACGTCCACAAAAACCTCAAGCTGCTGGACTCCGCAAGAAATTGCTGCACATATCAGAGAGTCAATTGCCCCGAAAAATCTCAAGAAACTCTTCCAGGGAAAGATGGAATTTTGTCAAACAATACGGTTTTTGCTGAAGAATCAATCGATGACAGCAATCTACCAATCGAGCAAATCGTTGATAATTGGGACCATAATGTCTACATATTTTTTACCACTTTTCGGATCGAATCGTCGTAAAGACTGATCAAATTCCAGATGAATATTGGGAAGTGAAGTGAAAAGGTAACGCCATCGAGTGGATAGGATGGAGGTGGCTGCAGCTTTCTTCGTTGCAAGAAAGGAAAGGATATGGCAGAGAAGGTCGTTTGGAAGAGCACTTATCCGATCAACATGATCAACTTTAACATGATTTTGGGACTGGACTTTGACAGTTTTTTGCCTTCGATTGCTCCGAATTCTTGGAGCCAAAAAGGATCTCCGGATACGAGACATTTTTAGCTACATATAATTTGAGCAAAAAGAAAGTGCGAAGATATGTGAAAGCTAGCTCGAAAGAGAAAACTCAAAAGAATTCAGGGTAGCATTCTTTAGTTGTTTTGTGCAATCCAAAAATTAGCTTCAACATCTATAGGCCTCTTCACTTAATGATGCTAATCAGAAGTCTCACTCTCGTATTAATGTTTCTAATCCGCTTTGTCTTCTCTGTTACGGGGAACTGGAGAGCTCACATCACAAAAATGTGGAAAAAAGTGACTTTTATTGATTTTTCACAAGCATAACTGCATGATGTATTAGATGCAATGTGTAGTTTAGCCTTACATTTAATATATGTAATTGCAATGTGAAACAGCAATTATGTATGCT